ATTGAAAAACAGACAGGGTTATGTCTACATAAAAAGAAGGGGAAAAATATAATAAATTATTGAAGCGAAGCTTGTATATTGGCGTTGTATTACTTTCTCTCTGTACTAAAATACTGAGGCGAGTGTCACGGAAGAAGCGCCATAAAACGACGTCGGCGCCACAGGTATCGTCACGAAATAAGAATCTTTACATATATTAATTAGTCTTCATCAATTGGTTTCTAGTCATCATATATTTATTCTAAGCAGGTTTAGATTAAAAACTGCATCAAAAATAGCCAACAAAATACAGACATTAAATGAAAAGTAAAAAATTAAAGGAATATCTGTCAATAAAAGATCATTCTCAAACGGTCAAAATTTAAAAATTTGGACTTTTCTGATTTTAAAATAATTTCATATAAATACAATCTTGGATTTTTACAAGTATCAGTACGACTATTGTATTGTATTTGTGCGACAAAAAGAGTTATTAGTAAAACATTTCAATTTTCATATCTATACTTAACAGTATTGTCATAGCAAACAATTGGAAGAGTCCATTTACGCGACGAGCGGACTCCATTATAAAACATGTAAACTTGTCGGAAGTATACAAAACAATAGTTCCTATCGCACCTTATTTTACTAACTGAAATAAAGGTATCTTTGCAGACTTCTTCAGTTGACAAAAGGAAAATTAGTATAAATAATAAAAATATCTGGGTGGCTTTTTTAAGTACTAATCTATAAAAGACTATAAAATTTCAAAATAAACAGTTAAACATTTTGTTTTAATTGATTTAGTTTTATTTTGTTGACAAATTATATGTGAATTATTTTTTACTTTTTAAGTTACACTTAATATTGGCTATAAGCACGGGGGCATGGTTATATAGTAACAATTTCCTACCACTTCTAGTCGAAAACAGAATTTGACCAACTAAAATATCCTGAATGCGGTTTTTAAAAAATATTAATTTTAAAATAGCGAGCGTTTGTTTCAATACAGACTAATATGGCCTATGCGGATCTGGCAACGTGGTTCTGATTTCTTCGGCCTCCAATGACCTTGACAACTGTTGTTGGTTATAGAATAGAAGAAAAACCACCTTGTGCATTGTGTATGTGCGTATGTATGTGTAATAAGTAACGTTATAAAGTCTATAATCGGCACATTGAATGTATCGCTTAGTCTCTAGGCAAGTAGAGACTCTGTCCTCCCTCACAGATTTATCCAAAAAGAAAAATTTATATGTTAGCTATTTTGAAATTAATTTTTTGTGTATGAAATAATAAAATGATGGTTCTATCACTTTTTTGCATTATTAGCGTATCTAGTATATGCAGATTTTTCCCAAGTAGGGACCCAAGAGAACAGTCTTAATATTCGTCAAACTTTAGGAAAATCCACAGAATTTAGTCTGGAAACATATTTGTGCTTTGTTAACTACTTATGTTTTCGAAACTGTAAAATGGGATAAAATGTGGCATGTACTTAGGGAAATTGGTACCCCAGAACATCTATTCTAATCTGTTTATTACAGGAATTGTATGTAAATAGTACCGCCAATGTTAAGAGTTAAATTTAACTTGAAATTTGGTCACAATTGTCAGATCGCCAACAGCCAAACTCACTAAAATATGGAAGAACACGGACGTTACAAAAAACACAAAACTACGCTTTGTTTGAGCATCAATATTATTATAGGAATTGGCAATAATATTTCCTATCGCCACATACGCTTCAGAAACATGGACCATCAAAAAATCCGATTCGAAGCGTATATTGGCATTTGAAATATGCGTTTAACGAGGAATGATGCGCATACCATAGACCATCATACAAATAAATTATTAGTAGAATAATACACACTAGACTCACCACAACTATCAACAACAATATGCTACGATATTTTGGACAGATTACACACATGGAGACTAAAAATCTGGTAAACAACTTCTGATCAATAGGCAAAAGAACTTACTATAATACAATTCTTCTTTTCCAAAACTGTACTCTCTACTAAAAATCCATAGAGAAAATGTTCCTCTAAGTGTCATAACTAGTTCAATAAATTATGTTTCTTACAATGTATCCAAATTTTTAGATAAAATTTTACAAATTACGACATATTTTAAGGTTAAGATACGTTCACGTTTGTGAATAAGATCAGAGGTACAAAATTGCCTGATAATTATGTATTACGTTCTCTAGTTACAATTTTACTAATTAATAATATTCCGGAAGGGTTAGAACAGCCGTAGAATTAGGGGAATCACTTAATTTTATTTTAAATTTATACTGAGGAGTTGAACCTAATCTGCACAATACAGACGAAAACCGTTTACTTTCCGACAGTCGTGTGAACCATGATTGGCGGTAACTATGTTTTATAAAATTGTCCTTTTTTACTGTTTCTGTATATTTCTTTCAATTCTGTTAGCATGCTGGTCTTTATACGGCAAGCAATTTCATTTTGAAGACACTTATACTTTAAATACTTTCCTTTTCTAAGTTCTAATTCATTTTTTCTTTGTTTGGTCCACTTCTTCATTCTTTTTTATTCCACAATACACACATATACTTTATAACACCATAATATTCCACAATACTGCCATATGCCTTCTGTGGGATTAACCAGGCAAAGGGGAAAGATTATTGGTCTTGTGGAATAAGAAATGTCAGGGGTAGGCATAACACAGGGCGTTGTATCAAAAACTTATGCTAGGTATAAGAAATTAGTAACGCTCAGAATAGACTAAGACAAAGTTGCCAAAAAGTAACAATGGCTCGCCACGATCGTTTCAGTGGCCAATTTTAGCTAGAAGATACCCAACAATTTCTCACCTACAGTTCCAAAGGCAACTTACGGAAACTACAGGTGTGTTTCAGTTAAAATGATATGAAAAAGACTTCGTACCCGAGGACTATACAGCAGTAGACAGTTACGGGTTCCCAAGTTATCCAGAGAGCTCAATATTGATCGGTTAAATTGGTGTCTTTAACACCAAAATTGGAACATTAGAAATTGGCAAATTTCTAATGTTCCATTAGAACTATTGTTCTGTATTGAACTATTGAACTGAATTGTACTATTTTCAGTCGTAACTCGGATTTGTAAAAAATCAGATGATCGACGAATTCGTGTACTTAGAGAGCGAAGAAGACAAACAAAAACGGAAATTACCAGATCTGTTCACATATATAAAGGAGAAAGTGTCATATTCTGAGGAGGCATTATGATCAATAACAAAACCAACTTTGACAGCTCGTAGGTATTTCCATTTGGTTCTAAAAATTGTAGTTAGGCTCTGGATAGGTGCAATGGGAGAAAATTTAATTTTCATGCATGATAATGTGCCTGCACATACCAGCAGAGTGATTTTAGACTTCCTTGAAGCAGAACATATCACTGTTCTGGAGTGACCTGCTTGCTCCCCGACTTTAACCCTATAGAGCAATTGTGGGATATGCTTAAAAAAATAATTAGAACTCACCGGGAAAATTAACCAAATACTGCACAGCTAGTACAAGCTACTTTTGAAGAATGGAACAACCTGCCACAACAAAATATTGGTCATTTGTTTAGGAGCATGCCCACGCTAATTAAAGCTTGCATAAGCGTTAGGGTTGGGGGTACACTTACTACTAAAAATTAATACTAATTAAAAACAATTTAATCATTAGTCATTTCACATTAAAAGTTTTTATGTTATTAACCTTAAAACATATCTGACCCTGTTGAGACATGAATTATTGTGAAATTAAGTGTGCATAATTGACATGATACGTTATATAAAGGGTATAAGTTAAAGGGTATAACAGAATTCGTTATGTAGAGGCAAATAATACTTTTTATTTATATTTGGCAATGTTTGAACATTCGTAATAAAAAGGTTTATATTTTGCATTAGCTGTTACGGGCAGTTCTAGAGGATTTCGAAAAATTTGTTAAATCGAGGAAACCGTTATATTGAGGGTCGTTATATTAAGGTTACACTGTATATATACAACTTTTAAAACTCAGGTGCATCCTGGTAATGATACTACCTGGTATTTGATCTGATACACGTGAACTCTTCTAAAACCTGTTTTTTATGGTGAATAGGCGATTCCTCAATTAAGCGATATATGCTTATACAAAATAGTCTCGTTTACCGGTACAGTTAAGATTGATTGTGCAAACGTGAAAACATCGCAATGAGCGGCATGTGTCTTTGTGTACGTTAACTTATTGTGCTATTGAGCTTTTACCATTTCTTTGATTTTTTACATACGAACCCAACCACTTGGCCTTGGGGCATACCTATTTGGACTAGGGTTCGTTTATATTTACTGTACTTAGTCATAGAGTCGATCATTTTTGTTTTAAACGCTGGAAAGGAAATTGCTTTCCCGCGACATGTAGTAACGTTTTTATCATCTATAATGAACTCTCAAAGCAGATGATTAGCTCGATGTTTGTTATCGCGAAGTGAACCAACAAAAATGATACTTAATATTTAATACAACAGGTGTTCGGCTTTAATATAACAGGTCCGCAACAAATGCTGGTTTTCTCGTAATTATTCTCATTTAGATAATAAAATAGGTGACACTGTGTTGTTGATACTAATGTTCATTGACAAATAAACCATAGTGTTTATTACACTTTAGGTAAACAGAAAATGGTCGCTTTGTTTGTAAAGAAGATGTTTAATCGACTAGTAAACTAAAAAAGTATAATAAAATATTAATTATTGTTATTTAATTTAGATAATCAATAATAATTTGATAGTCTCCTGTGAGAAGGTTATTAAGTCATTAGGATATGACACTGCTTATGCTTATATGGTTATTCCAAATATTATATATTTCAGTAGAAAATTTGGAGTCTTAACTAATTATTTAATTTATTGGATCTATGATTGTTAAACAATACAAAAAAAATAACACTTTTCGATAACATTTATAGTTGTAATTTTTGTTTTATACCAAAAATATTTTAAAAAAATTTAAATATATTTTCTTTTTTTAGGGGTAAATATGCAACAGTATGGCGAGCAGTTCACAAGAAAACTGGCACGGCTTACGCTGCAAAATTCGTGAAGAAAAGACGAAGAAATCAAGACCAGATGAAAGAAATCATCCACGAAATAGCCGTGTTGATGCAGTGCAAAATGACCAACAGGGTAATACGGTTACATGAGGTCTACGAATCAATCACCGAGATGGTTCTAGTACTGGAATTAGCCGCAGGCGGCGAACTACAGCACATTCTCGATGGCGGACAATGCCTGGGAGAGGTAAGTTGATTAATATTTTAATACTAAAAAAAAACCGAAAACATGACAATGTGAGAGAAACATAATATCGGTAAAAGTTGCCAATATAAACAAAACGTAATATGATGATCGATGATCTTTGTTCAGACATTGTTTCGATATAAAAAATATACAGATTCTAGTTGGACCGCTAGTTGGATAGCAAGTCGGAGCGTGAGTGGAGACGAATATCCAACTAGTAGTCCTACCTACTAAGTGGGACCGCAAGTCGGAACGTGAATGGCCTGCATAAGGAAAACCAAATGTCAAATATACAAAACCCTGACTATACCAGTCCCCTGATAATCTCAAAAGGCGATTTGATATTTTTCTGAAGCTCTTTTCTTGTGGAGTTTTAATATTATTTACTACCTTTAATAGGAATTAACCATAATTTCAGTTGATAATTCGTTTATTTTCACATTTCGATATCCATTCAGAAAACGTTCTCAAATACATATTAAATAAATTATACATTACAAACATTAACTAAGAAAAATCATTGGATGTGATTTGTCTTTCGTTAGTAATTCCCTTGTAAATCACGAGGAAAAACCAGAAAAAAAACTCATAATACCATCCCGACATGGTATTTGGTCTTACATTTAGTTTACTCTCAATATCAACATCAAACTTTAATTTTATATGTTTGGACTTTAAAATATAATAATAATAGTGGTATTTTCTTTTTATTGGCTCCTTTAATAGAAATAATTGTTTATTGATCTGTAACCGTTTATTGATTTTTTAAAACAATTGTTACCTATATTCGCAAATAGTTACATTCTTTAGCTTGAGTATGTATATATACTTTTTTTAATTTTTGTTTTTTCTAATTATATTTTATTATCCTAATAACATGTTAATCCGGTCAGAGATTGTTTATCCTACTTTATCGAATGCTTTTAGTAATTTAGCTATAGGTACTCTTGCTTAGTTATTTTTTTTAACAAGTAAAGGTTTATAATTAAAAAATATATGTAATTAATAATAGTTAATAATCATTTTCCAAGTTAATACACTGTTATTTTAACTTAGCTGCACCGTACTGATGAAGACTTAATAGTCAGAAATACGTATTTACTGTTGCCTTCCATCTTATACACTTATTCTATATATTCTAAATTTACGTATATATAAAAAATATAAAAATAAAATCTAAAATTTAATGGCATGTCCCGCTAACTGGAAAACAAAACAAATATATCGATGGAAGGCAATATATATATATATATATATATATATATATATATATATATATATATATATATATATATATATATATATATTACATATATATGTATTTAATAATATTTTGTGTATTTTAGGTGGAAGCTCGTAAAGCAATGAAACAAATACTAGAAGGCGTTGCTTACTTACACGACAAGAACATTGCTCATTTGGACCTGAAACCTCAAAACCTACTGCTATCTGTACAAGACTGCTGTGATGACATAAAACTCTGTGATTTTGGCATATCGAAGGCGCTTATGCCTGGTGTAGCGGTACGAGAAATATTAGGTGAGATTTTAATCTTCTAACATTATTGCCACAAATTGGTCGCATTGCTCCTATAGTGATCGTTTCCCAAGTTAACATGCTTCTTTAACTTTATTATATACAAATATACTACTAAATATAGTTCACTAAGATAGTGGAGGGTTCTCGGTCAAGTTGGAGAATAAAAGAAATGCTATCAGCTACTTCATCTTTTTATTAAAGACTTTTTGTGTATTAAATTTTTACACATCATCAGTTCATTTACTAAATTATTTAAATAAGCAAACATAAATAAATACAAAAAAAATGCACATGGTTTACCTTACAAAAGATATGCAGCAGTATTATGATGGAAGTGAAGAAAATAACTTAATTTAAGAACCATACAGATTAAAAAAGTACAAAACGTTCAGTTATCCAAAAACCGAACTACGTCAGTTTTGTATAAGTTAAAAAAGAGTTCAAAGAACCGACGTGTTAAAAAAAACTTAAGTGTAAGTAACAAGGCAAAAATCTTATATCCAGTATGGATGAACAAACTTCCAAAAATAGCTCAGATATTACTTCTTAATAGAAATTATAATATTTTATATTTATTATTTTATATTTTATATTTAAGAATGACATTTCATACAGCTCGACCTAACAGAGCGGTAATTTGTTTGCAAAGTTGTTTCCAAAGTTAGTACAAGTTGATCCTCTCTTACAATTCACTTGTGAATAATTAGAGGAAGCACAGGTGTCTAACAGGTTTCTTATCTACCACTTTTCATCACCAATATCATCCAAGCCCTTAGTTTTAGGTTACACAGGTTATCACATGCGGGTAATCGAAGGGAATCCCTTCTTTTATTTAAAAGTATTCTTGTTGAAAACTCCTACCCCTTAATTCCTTAATTAATAAATATCTTTTTTCGAGAAGCTACGGTTCCAAAATTAACGAGTTACACAATAGTGACCAATTAAGGTCAATTTCAAATAAAACTGCTCTACTCTCAAATATAGCTCTACAAATACAACACATGAGACTCATCTGACTGCGTCAACATCCCATTATTCTTCATTATTATACTTTCCTCAAGTTACAGATAATCTTGTTAAACTATTTAAAAGCATACCAGTTAAATTAGCAATAAAAAACGCTAAATATATTGTTCCAGTGAAATCAAGGAGAGATACTATATTTTATTTCCTCTTACTTACTTATTTCATTTACGTTACAACCCTACGTGGGTTTTAGCCGACTTGACAACATGCCTCCATTCCTTTCTGTATTCTGCAATTTCCATCCAAGTATCCACGCCCACAACTTTAAGGTCTCTTGCCATTATCTCGCCACTGGAGCCGAGGTCCTCCACGTGGTCTTCTTCCAGTTGGGACTTCTTCCCATACCAGTCTTATTATTCTTTCGTCAGAATGTCTTTTGAGGTGCCCTGTTCACTGGTGTCTTCCGGACTCCAGTATCCAAAGTTCTTCCAGCTCTTTGTTAGTTTTAATCTTATATTGTCCTGTTGCTCCATCAAGCGCCGGCTTAAAGATCTTTCGTAGGATTTTTCTTTCCCAAACACGTAGTAGCTCTTCGTTTGCCTTTGTTATTGTCCACGTCTCGCTACCATACATCACTACTGGTCTTATGACCTATATAAATTTATCTTTTTTGCGTCTTTTAAGTTGTTTCGATTTTATTAGGTTGTGAAGGTTGTAAAGACATAGCTTGTATCCTATTGTTTATTTCTTGTGATCCGTTATTGTCTTCAGTGTTTTCATTGATTAGGAGCCTCATCTTCTCTGCTTCCTTCTCAAACCTCATACAAGTTTCCTTCGTCCTTAATCTGGTGGTTCCTATTAGATCGATAACAGTTTTTTAGAAAGCCAAGTTCTTGCATCGCTGTAAAATCGAATGTGTATATCAAATGTCTGTTTAAAATCTGATGATGAACATCTGATGGAGTTCACGATCAAACTCCCAGAATTTTTCCATTATCTGTGTTAATGTTTTCAGTTTTTAGTGTTTCCATAAATCTTCATAGATAATACCCAATAATTTTCTATGTGTTTCTCTTGGTTCTTTCTAGCAGGATGTTTGCAAAGACTTTGTAGGTGGTATTTTGGAGCATTATTTGTCGTATTAAGTACGGCCCGTAGTTAATATATTGGTTTTAGACACTCTGCGAATATGTCATTGCTTCCTTGTGATCACTAATAAGCTCTCCGCTGTCTTTTTGAAGGAAGCTTCCTTTTCTTGTTTAGTACCCGACATTGGTACCTGAAACTGATAGCAGGTTGTGGGATGCTGCAAAGTATATTAACCTTGTTCCATTATCATTACAAGTCATACTATGGTTATCTATTTTTGGTCTGTATGCTACTTCTCTCCTTCCGGCTCGAGGAGATAAGAATACGGCCGGGGCCAGAAGACCCTGCCTGTCGTAAGAGGCGACTAATGGGCGGATATGAGAGGTGAAGGGCCGTCGTTTGAGGTGTCGGGTTGGTAGAAACGCACAGTCACCGGTCTACATTCCTAGTATCCGAGACGAGCGCCTCGTGGGACCACTCTACTCTCATTTTCCACAAGAACCAGGTGAGGTTGAACGAGCCGGGTACGTATGCACCTCCTGAAGCCGACACCGTGGAGGGGTGTGTGGTTAGACTCGGCACGCATCCACCTCGAAATGATCTAAGAGTGGTAGAGGAGCGATTCCTCGGCGGCGACCTGTCTCCGTGCGAGGTGGTATTCCACCACCTGCGTACCTTTCCGCCTCCGGGGGGAGGACTCACGGGAGGGTGGCGTGACCCGCAACACAGGTACTACGGAGGAGGTGGAGCCCCACGATGTTTCGGCATCGTGCCGCCTCCAATTGGTGTCGCACTCGTAGGGTCAGTGGGAGCGCTAACGGTCGTATGCCGAAAGGCCAGGTAGACGAGGGTCCTGCCAATTAATTTTGGAGGGCACAAAGCTTTTGCAATGTATGTTACTTCCTTCCTAATTTTTACATTTCAAATCCCCCAAATTTTATTTTCTCCTCTCTATATTTTTTATTTAATATGTTACTAAAATAGTAATTGTTTTTAGGTACTGCTGATTACGTAGCTCCAGAAGTCCTCAGCTACGAACCAATAGGCCTTAGCACCGACATTTGGTCAATAGGAGTATTAGCCTACGTTCTCTTGTCGGGGTTCAGCCCCTTCGGAGCCGATGATAAACAACAAACTTTCCTGAACATTTCCAAATGTTCGCTCACCTTCGAACCGGAACATTTTGGAGACGTTTCCAGTGCTGCGATAGATTTTATCAGAAGTGCCCTTATTGTTGACCCAAGGTAAGATTTAATCGCACATCGTAAAAAATTCTTGAAATAAACTTAACAACAATTGGTATAACCTGTAAATGTTATTTTCAATTGGCGGTGAATGAAATCTTTACAGTTCAGACTTTCTTGGTCTCGCTCTTTGAGGCATTAGCCATATTTACACTTTTTTAGAACTGACAGTCTTTAAAGATATTATACTCCCTTGATTGATATCACTTGTCTCTGACCTCTCATGTGGTGTTACCTTATTCATCATCATCATTAGCCATTTTGCGTCCACTGCTGAACATAGGCCTCCCGTAAATAATTCCATTGCATCCGATCTTGAGCAACTTGAATCCAGTTAGACTGGATGCGCTTTAAATCGTCCGACCACCTTGTTGGAGGACGTCCTCGACTACGATAAGCATCGTGTCTAGGTTACCTTATTAGTGCTGGTATATTATTATTAATAAGTTCTTTAACTATCGGTAACCATATCTTGCTGCATTCTATTGATGAGTTTGCTAGCCAAGTTTTTTTCATTTAGTAAGATGATGGCGACTTCCTTAATTTTACACTTTTTACCATTGTTCCGAGCATGCTTTCAGATCTGATACCTATCAGATTTTCTGTTTTAAAAGTAAATTCATGCTCGTTTATCCTAACTCTTAGTGGTCTTGAAGTTTCACCCAGATAAAAATTGTCACATCACAAGATATTTTGTAAATGAAGCTCTTTGATCTTTTTTGTACATTGTTAGGTTTGGTTTTGGATTAAATAGAAATCAGTATAAATATTGTGTTTATATGTGATTAAGCAACAATTTACTACAATGAAAATACATTTTATAATAATTATTTGACGTTTCTATTTCCACTCCAGACATCGTTTTCATCTTTCGCTAGACGTACCGTATATACGTTTCAATGCATTTCGTTATTGATTTCTCTATACCAATTTGTTCTTTAAATGTGCTACATCTAATTCTCTCTAAACCTAATGTTCTAGCAACTTATCTCTTATGATCCATTCTAGTCACTCATCAATTTCAGTAGCTTCTTTCCTTTTAATTTACTTTGCATAACCTGAAGTGTGTAATGCTTATCGTTTCCCATTACACGATCAAAGTTTGATAGTTTTGTACCTGTTCAGATCAGTTTATGGTCTTGATCTAGTATTTCCAAATCAATCTAATTCATTGTTGGCTTACCACTGGTCTAATGTCATGTACTTATCTGATTTATGGTCTTCCCATGCTTCTTGTCATCCTCCTTGGTCTCCATTCGAAGATTCTCCGTGTTCATCTGTTATCATTATATCTGGCTATGTGACCGGTCCAGCGCCATTTTATTTTTATAATTTCTTTCTTTCAACGATATCCCTAATCTTCGTTCTACGTCTTATCTATGATTTATTCGTTTTATTCGTCATCTCCCTCTTCTTCTTCTTTCTTTTTATAAGTATTCTGCATGTTCATTGGCGGATTAATACCCCTGTATGTGTATATATATGTAGAGAGAGAGACAGCGAGAGAGAGACAGGAGAGAAAGAGAGAGAGGGGAGAGAGAAAGAGAAGGCGTAGTAGGCTCATAGCTTTGTTAACTATTTCTTTCCAAATTTTTCCGTCTTCTGTTTTGTTCTTCCAGTTGACAACGTTTAGTTTCTTTATATCTTCTTCTTCTTCTTCTCTCGATCTGTCCTTTGATCTTCCTCTTGTCTTTTTGCCTCCGACCTTTGCTGGATAAAATCTGCTTTTGAACTCTGCGTACTGGCATTCTCATTATATGACCTAGTTTTAACTAGGAACAAATATTTCTAGAGGCACTAGAAGAGTACAATGAGGGCATCAAGAATAATGGCGTACCAATAAGTAATTTTCGATATGCAGATGATACTATTATACTGGCCGATAACATCGAAGATTTACAGATGATGCTACATAGAGTTAATACAACTGGCAGCCGATTTGGACTGAAGATCAATAGAAAGAAAACTAAATTTATGGTGATCAGTAAAAAAAAATTTCAACATATCGACATGCATATTGAAGACGAACGTATTGAAAGAGTACACCGATTTAAATATCTGGGATATACAGTAAATGACAAGTGGGACCCAGAAGTAGAGATTAAGATCCGAATTGAAATAGCAAGATCCAAATTCATCAATATGAGAAAGCTCTTAAGCAACCGCAACCTAAGCATTAACCTCCGATGGCTCGCCACGAAATGCTACGTACTCTCTACGCTACTTTACGGCGTAGAAGGGTGGACGTTAACAGCAGCAACCATAAAGAAGTTAGCGGCTCTAGAAATGTGGCTGTATCGACGCATACTGAGAATACCTTGGACAGACAGAGAGACAGACCAACACAGAGGTATTAAGACGAATGGGTAAAGAGGTGGAATTGTTAACAACTGTTAAAAGGAGGAAAGCGTCATACCTGGGCCATGTGTTCCGTAATGATAAGTACAGTCTGCTACAGCTTATCGTGGAAGACAAGATTGAAGGTAGAAGAGGTTTGGGCAGAAAGAAGAAATCCTGGCTGAGAAACTTGAGAGAATGGTTTCAAATACCAGAAGCTGCGAACATAATTCATGCGGCACAAAACAGAGAAACCTATCGTATGATGGTCGCCAACCTTCGGTAGAAGACGGCACATAAAGAAGAAGAAGAAGAAGAAGTTTTAACTAGATCTCTACCCCATTTATACTACTTTCTTTGTAAAGCTCCTTTAACTCTAGGACTGGATAAAACTCCAATTATTTTCAACTTTCTTGCTGTAAGTATTTCTCTTAATACATTTCTTTCCCATATTCCTAGAGCTATTATATCAGCTTACCTCAGGATCCAAACTTCGCTTCCAAAGGTTATGTATACATGTGTGTATAGTAAAATATATATTTGGAAACAGATATAGATACTTGAAGAATTGTGGCATGTTTGTTAACCTTTTGTTTCGTAAGACTTATAAACGTTTAAAACTAGTAGGTTAAAAAGTGTATGTTACAGTTATTATATTACTAATTATTTTACTTTATTTTTAGAAATCGGCCGTCAATCCACGAAATGCTCGACCATCCTTGGATATCTTTAAAGAGCAACATCGCCCCCACCTTACACTTAAAACCCTGTGAACACCAAAACAGTCAATCGAACAATATAACGCCAAAATCGACGCCGATAACGCAACGTAAAAGTTTTGCCTGCATCAACGACACTGGCACGGTGAAATCCCCAGGACAACGAAAAAACGGCTTTGACACCCTCAGTAGTACTTTCACAGACTCCTCGTCAGTTCGTACGTACACAGTTTCAACCAATTGTTTGTGTCCTCAGTGTGGTACGACTTGTCGCCACATCACGCATACACCAGTGACTAAAACTACCATCACCATCGATAGGGGCATTCTGTGTTAGCTGATTGTTCACAAAGTAACCAGAATGCGGGTTTTATACCTATACACCGATTTAACTTTGATTTAGCCAAACCAAACATTGTAGTTGATCTTAGGAATTTTCGTTCTAATTCACTTTTTTATGTAAATATCTCGTTTGTATCTTCAAAGCTAAATACGAATGGGGAAAGAGTAATTGACATTCAAAACATATTACATATTTATATCCACTTAATTTTGGGGTATTAGAAAAATATTTTACATTCACGTCGAAGTTGGGCTGCTCTAGAAGTTGCAGAAACAACTATTTCTTTGCTTTAAGCCAGTGAGTTCTCAGTGTGATTTATAATCCGTTAAACATATGTCATTGTCTCCTTGTTCTTCCATTCTTTTCGTCTTCCCATATCTTATGTAATCAATAAAAAATTTTAATCAACAAAAGAAATTATTCATCCAATTATAAAATCATAAAAAATTATTATAATGGATTTACTAGTAGTTGAAAAATTGAGCCAAGGAAGATATAGTTAGAAACACCTCTAGACTTCCAGCTACATATATATTTTTTTTAAATCTAATTATACTTGAATCGGTGTAAAGGGTATAAAAGTACGCCAGAAATATCGGCACATTTAGATTTTTTTGTAAAGACATGTCAAAAGTTAGTTTCGTACAGTAAACGTAACGGTTATGTAACATTATTGCAACAAATATTACTACACTAAGATCTATAAATTGAGCTGAATCTAAGTCCAATGTGACTTATCGAAATGTACAAAAATATTTACCAAATCCGGCCAATATCAGGAGATATACATAAAGATTATAATATATGTAAATATAAAGTTGAATATTCATATATTTAATAATGTTTAGCATCTTAATCAATGTTCAAATATTTTAAAAATAATAAGAAATATTGTAATGAGAATGTCTTAACCTTCAAATTATTTTTAATTTTATGAGGGACAGTTTCAAGTATTTGAAGACTTTAAATTTAATTTTATCATTCTGTTATACATACATTTCTTTCTTTTTTTCTATTCTTCCTTGTATTTTGCATGATTTTAGGTACATTTTTTTTATTGAGATAGGATAATAAATTTCTTATTTTCTTGTAATACATCCTTGTTTTATAGTTCTATGGATTGACCAAAGAATTGCTTTTCTAAGTTTCTTTTTAAAGAATTGTATACCATAAAGTTTTTTTTCGCCATAATGTTTCAAGTAAAATAAATACAAGATGTATTTAACAATATTAATTATAATCGAGATTGTGTATCAGTGTTAGTGTTAGTGGCTGGTGTAAAGTATTTCTTTTTTTTTAGTTTTTTTCACAAGTTAAATATGTTTCAACACTGGTTTGTAGCATTAATAACTTTCTTCTGTCCATTGCATAGTAGAAAATATGGGTCAGAGGCCTGCCTTTCTGTCTTAAGTTTTGTTTTCGACCTGCCACTATCTGATGAGCCCCAATAGGGCGAAACTTGTCATAGTGTGGTCGGAGCACAAAATGTTGGACATAAAGAACAGGGCTTCTAGATGCATTTTACGCCACGCTCTATAAAAGTAGTACTTTTTTCCTCAGACTAATCAATGGTCAAAGGAAGTGTCCAAAATTTTTCATTTCTCAAATACTGAACAGTCAAACGTGAATATGTGAATAAAGAGCTTTGGCTATAACATACAATAATCATAGAACAGAATCAATTAGATCTAAGTTTGCATCACTTCATATAAATACACACTGCATATTTCTTTCGGGCATATTACATAAACAAAGACAAGCTGGTCTTGATCTTAATTGAACGAACAATATTTTGCTACATTGGATCCGAATAAAAAATAATAAATTCAAAAAATTAACCTTGTGTATACCGTAAGTCGGTATATGCGTGGGGATATGCCGGAAAATAATGCAGTCGAAATTGCAACAGATACAGAAAAACTGTTCACTAATCCGTCATCAAAAAAGTGATGTGGAGAAAACTATAAAATTAGATCCGAGAAAACTAGAACATACTTACTCGTAAACTATGATAATTAGTTTATCTTGCTTTTAGTTTTCGTTTTGATTAAGTATTGAATTCTCGAGTATAATTTCTAAGTATGATTAATTTTCAATTGAAACAAGTTTAGAATGTGTAAGCTAGTTTTTATTCAACAAAAATATTTTATTCAAAATGCTTCAGAAATGACTTATATGTCTTAACCATATTTATTTTTAGATCTTTCGGTGATTTTTGTTAAAAATTTCGAACTTATGACTGAAAATTTATCTTGAAACTGAGCTACTTCTTTCCATGAATAAGATTTTTACAAAAGTTACTAGTGTAGCCCCTTTCTTTATATTTTTTTCGCTAAGCAACCTTTTTGTAACGGTATGACAATAACAGTCGCTCTGGCGCGTCTCTTCATGATTTATTAAACGAAATAGTTCTGCGGGACTGTAGATTTTTTGTAGTCAATATCCTGAAAAAAAACATTGTTTCCAATGTAGTTTCTGATCTGCATTAGTGATTATCATATTTATCGTTTTCTTGGATGAGAAATTTCTCCATGACTGAGGAAATAAATCAGCTGTTTAATCTGCAGACTAAACTTCTTAAAATCTTAATACTAAATACCTTTTCTAAACTTGTACACATCATTTACAAATGGTAATAATTTGAGAGGACAAATATTAAAAATGATTGTTGTTGAAACTTTATTAATGAGATATTGAATCATATTTGTGCCTTGTTGTGTGCCAGAAAAATTAGGAGCTTAGTGTAGTTGAACGTTGCAATGTCGAGTTCTAACAAAATTATATTATAGATATAATAATATGGATAAGTGTATTTTTTTAGATTAGATAATTATGTTGCCTTTAAATAAGGGTACCATAATTTCTATGTAGGTGGAACGTGCTTTTTGTAAAGACAAAATTGTGTTTGTAATGTTACATCAGTGTTACAGAAATCGATTGTTCTTCAGATGCATGTTACGGGTCTAAAATACGAAAAAAATGTTTTTAAATGTTTGAAAAATTAAAAACTGAATTTTGGCATTGTCGAATGATTGATTCCATCATTTTTTAAGTTACACGGATGTTTATTTGTGCTATTGTTGGGATGTACAGTGCTATTTGTATTTAAGTATGAGTAATTTATATTCTTTTGTTGCTTTAATTCACTTTAATTTGGTGTGTACCTAAATAAAGTTATTTGTTAATTTCAAGCCTGATTGTTTTATTTATCACCTTTGCTACGCTGTAAATTAACGAAAACTGGTGCTTTTCACATTTCATTGCTTTTTATCATATTCATTATAATTTGGGTGTTAAAGTTTTTATGTGTTTTTATGAATTTTCTGACAATATAGCTTAACGACATTATTTGTAGAATCGTTGGTGATCTGTCGTATACCTAGATCCAAGTTCATGACGTTATCTAATATAATGTTCCACGGAGTGGAACCTATACATCTTTTTCTATTATGTTCCTCTATTTCAGATATTTAATTCTTGTATTTATTAGGTATAGTTTTTATGACCTTATTTTAAATAGGCTCATGTGACAAGTAATACATTATTTGAAAATCTGGTGTCAAACAGTATTTTTGTACGATTATGTCGCGTTGTAAGAGTTACAGTTGAATTCTGAAAATTATCTTAAATGTCACGTTCATAGAATAACGTTTCCATGTTTCTAGTACCATACCGCGTGGTACAAGAGTTTTTAAATGATGTATCACATATCATATGTCATATTTTCCAGCTGTCATTAAATAAAAAAATGAATTCTGTCAGAATTTGAGAAACTGAAAAGTAGACCAGAAAAAATAACAAATAAAAAATGTTTTCTGAAACACTATTTGATACATGTATATAACAACTGCTTTTGATAAATTTGGTGATAAAAATATGTAATAAACAAAATATGCAAAAGAATAAATCGAATTTTTTACTTATATACAATGTAAGATCGCTATTTACGCTAAGAAAGTGTAGAAAATCCTTTAAAATGAGTGTTTGTAAAGTTAGTTTTGTTAATGCCTTTTTGTTTTGTTGATAACTTTTCTAAAAATGCATAAAAAACTTTAATTTCGCGATACTAATTATCACAGGTATTCATCTATAAAAATTTCAAGGAGGTTAAATAGTTACTGCAAAATTTAAATTGTTTATTTCAAAAAGCTTTTATCTAAAACGTTATTGTGCGTAACATATTAAGTCTACGTGAATTCTGAAAGCACCAAATTGAAGAAAAAGGTTTATTTTATCAAATTAGATCATTTACCGATTAAAACATAAAATTAAATATTGCAAAATAGGTGAAATAGGCAAAATTATCTTTTTTATTCCCTATGTTTATACACGAATTAAAAAAAAACAGAATGTTCTACGACTCTTAAAACCCGAGTTAGCCCTTTTTTCTTTTAAAATTAACCAGGGCTTTGTTAATAAATAATAAGCAATTTAAAATTTTAAAGATTAAGAGGTCGAATTTGGAAAGAATTTTTTTTAACCATTTCTTTAAAAATGAGCCGTTCATAAAGCTCCAGAGATAATGGTTTAAACGGTGATTTTACTATTTCAAAAACTAAATAAATTAAAATTTATAAAAGTCGCAATATCTCCGGTTCTAATCATGAAAAATTTAATTGTTTAAACAATATAAAATTGAATATTTATTTAGCATTTAATGCTTATTCGTAGAACAGTTTATGAAATAACAAGCAACTTAAATATGTATTAATGTTCTTTTTACAAAAAAATTTACAAAAAATTGATTTTTTTCAATTTTACATTTGACATTTATTTGAAAATCAAATCTATAATACTGTATTCGTTTTTTTTTTAATTATGGTTATTATTTTTACAGTTACTTTTTCTTGAAAACATTCAAAATATATTACACATAATACATTATAAAATATATACACAAATTAATTTTTATAAATTTTGTCTTAATTATAAATAAATATTATGGCACTAGTCTGTATATATAATTATAATACTACAATTTACAAACTTAATTTTACTATTTTTATGTAGACAAAGTTGGTAACAATTAATTTCGTTTAAAATATATTTTTAATATTTTTTCAGTCAAGAAAAGTAATTGTAAAAATAATAAGCATAATTTCAATATCAATTTTCGTCTATAAATACTTTAGACATTTCGACTTTTATAAATTTGATTTTATGAATTCAGTTTTTGGAATAACAAAATCGTTTACTGTTAGACCCGTTTTTAAAGGAATCTTTTTTTTTTCTTCAAACTTAACTTTTGATCTTTCAAATGGTTCTTTTTAAATTTATTGATAATAAACAAAAACCCGGTGAATTAAAAAAAGTGCTATCTTTTTAAGGATCATAGGGTTTTTAAGGGTCATAGGACATTGTATTTTTTGGAATTCGTGTAAGAATGTCAACATGGCGTATAAAAAAATTAACTTACATGATATTGCGTCTTATTTTAATTGTTTTTATGCTTATTTAACATAAATTGTTAATGAATTAATTTAATAAAATTTTAGAATTCATCTAAACCCAATAGTTTAAGCATAGTAACGTTGCAGATAAAATTCTTCAATAACTAGTTAGTGAAATTTCTTGAAATTTATAAAGCTGAATATCTGTAGTTGAAAGTGATAGTGAAAATCAAAGTTTTTTATCTATTTTTAGAAAAGTTATTAATAATTTTAAAAAATCGACATTTGAAGCTATTTTTGCAATAATTAAGCAACAAATTAACAAAAATACTTTGCAAACCCTCATTTTAAAGGTTTTCCTATGCGTTTTCATAAAAATTGTGTTACTTTTCCATAATAATTTACCAATCTTCACCGTAAGTATTTAAAATCAAATAGCGATCTTACATTGTTTATAAGCAAAAAATGACGTTTAATCTTTTGCATATTTTGTTTATTACATATTGTTATGGTCCAATGCATCAAAAGCAGTTGCTAGATACCTGTATCAACGAGTGTCATGGGAAAATCGTTAGTTCCCTGATCTAACGATTAATTAACTGGTTCGAGATTTGTTCATAAAACCTGACGACCGTCGTTAAATATTTAGCGGTTGCTGTTTTAAAATGAATAACAAGAGCTTTTAAATAATATATTACGTGCCATATGATCCCATTTAAAATTAATTTACAGAACGCCAGTTAATTATGTCCCTCAAACTTAAAAATACTGAACATGTGTCACTGTTCAGTTGCTCAACAACGTATTAATTTAAATTGTAGTAATACTTACAGTCAGACTATGTTAACATATTTGCGTTTCTCATTCTTTGTATGCTTCTCCCACATGATGCTGTGTTGAATGCTTCACATCCAAGGCTATTAGCTAACAATTATATGCTTGTGTTGTAAATCTGCCTTTCCTTAAGTCGTATTAGTGATGTGAGATGATTTATTTTTTGCCCAGTTCACTTTATAGTCTATTTATTATGAGTTTTTCTACAAACTTACTACGTTTCTTCTTACTAAGCCGATCGCATATTAACACCCCATCTGCCAGTTTTCCTTCTTTAAACATTACAACTTTTGTCATTTGCACTTCCTGCACATTTAGGATATTTCTGGGTCTAGTTATGTCCATTACATGCTTTTTTAAAATAGTCATAAGCCAACATCTTCCACGCTTTACACTCTTGCCACATATGTTACTTAACGAGAAAAGGTAATAGATAACAGCTATAGTGTCCCACACCTAGATTTTACTAAACTCTTCAAGTTTAGGTTTTTCCTGGGAAATTTTAATTTCAGATTCACATTAGTGGTTCTACTCACTCTTTCCAAAGTCAGATTAAAAAAAACTCGATCCGAGTTCTACAAATTTAGGATTAAGGTAAGCGTCAAATCTAGGTGTTTTTGTATGAACTTTTCCACTTGACATATCTCTTATAGTATTAGTTGACACATTTTGGTAGTGTGTGCTATTCACACTCAATTTCCATGCTTCCTTTGGGGACAAGCTACCTTATTCTTGCATTCTAATTAGGGCCCAAAATAGCTTTATCGGTGTCAATATTAGTCTTACTGCTGGAATTTTATGGATTATTTAAACGAACAACAATATGTAACTGAAACGTAACAACCATAGATAAATAATATAGTATATAGAAACGTAAAAACACTGTACACAATATGAAATAATTTTATAAATGGCACTTCTGCCATCAACTTACTTTGTGGCCTATATAACAATATAAGTTTTATCCTGTTGTTTAGTATTCTCGCTTCTCCTTCTTCTGTAAGTGTCGTCTGTCAAACGGAGATTGGATATCATCATCACTATCTTCACTCTATTTACCGCTGCTCTGAAGAGTTCTACAGAACTGCATCTAAACCAGTCCCTTGAATTTTTGAATCATGGCACTCCTTCCTATACTCCCTCTTCCTCTTATCTTTCCCTATATTATCAATCTTAGCATTTCATATCGTTGTCGCCTCATTACGTTATTGTATTTTTCTTACATTTATTATATTTACTATTTCGTATTTTTTGCCCATATCTCTCCATACCGTGTTCGTTTTCTTCTGTGCCTACGCTATTCTAAACATCCTTCTGTTAATCATTTTAAATAACTGTAGCCTATTTATGTGTTCTTGCTTCAGTGTCCAGCTTTCAAGTCCATACTGTAGTATCGAAAACAAGTAACATCTCAGAGCACTTACTCTCAGTTCTAAGGTCTTTTTTGCAGAGAATTGTTTTGAAAAATGCTTCTTCAAAAATGGGCTCGCTATATACATTTTCCAAATTTTAGTTTGTCTCTTATGAGAAATTTTCTGATCACTTCTTTCTTCTTTGGTATTTTATTTTCTTAAATTAAAAAAAAATTAAAGGGTCACATGTAAAGCGAAGAGATTACCACGTTTTTAAAATAGTCAGTTAAGTTTCACATAGAAACTGCTAAAATATTGTCCTTCAGTACATCATTCACGTGAAGGATTTACTGAAGATTTAAATAATATAAATTTAATAATTCTAATACTTCTTTTTCAGCCTCCGATGATGAAGATGGAGCGTCCCTTAGCCAGAATAGTGAAAATTACACAGGGATACCTTTTCTCTTCTATTAAATTGTGATCAATTAGCTTTACTTAATTTATTTATTGTTGTTCATTACATTTTTAAAAATATGTTAAAATAAAGTCAAATAAAATTGTTTTTGTTCCCCTAATACTTTCCCATTGTTCAACAATTTATTCATCCCTCGAAGACCCCGTTGCTCAGTCCTGTTAGATTAGGGGCTGTTCGTTCGTTCGGGCGAGGTAAAAAACGTAAAGAAGAAAAGATATTAAACAACAAAGAAATGAAATTAAGGAAGAGAACATCTCTTCAAAAAAGGAAGGGCGCCACTATTTATAAATGAGTCCCAAAAACACTGCTTTCCAAATATTTTTTAGCCCTTTATTTGAGACTAGACAGTAAAAGTAAATTTTTATTTGTTCTTTTGCATATTTTGATATTTGAGGATATTTTTTATATTTTCTAACACAGTTAACCCATTAAAGAAAGGACTTTATAAGTAAGTAGTTATTTAAAGACTCCAATAAAAGAGCTCTCATGTTTTATGATAATAACTTTATCAATATCTAATATGTTTCTATATTTATTTACCTTTTTTTATATTTGCATTTTTCTCTTTGATTTGTGTATATACCATTATATGCAAAAGAACAAATTAAAATGTACTGTATGTAATGTAAAAATGTACTCAAATTAAATGGCTAAAAAATATTTGAAATGCTAGTTAAAAAACACAATTTTTAGACAAAAAAAATGTTCTACGACCCTTATAGGCCAAGATAACTCCTTTTTCTAATCACTGTTACGTTAATTAACAACATTAAGGGCTGAAGTTAACCAATCTTGTAACCATATTTAGTAGAACTACTATTGTAGTAGATTTTCGACATAAACTAACAATTTTTAGTAGGGTAGGAATATTTAGTAGATTCTAGTAGTTTTTACATACAAAGACATATTTCAACATCCTTCTTCCATCTGGTTTTCGGTCTGCCTTTCTTCTTTTTCCCTCCTATTCCTCCCATTAGCATTCTTTTTGGCAGTCTCGTGTTTCTCATCCTTTGGATGTGTCCCAACCATCTCAGTCTTTGTGACTTTATGATCCCTACGATATTCGGTTCTCAATACATCTTCTCTAATTCCATATTTGGTCTTTTTATCCATATACCATTCAATAATTTACCTCCAAATATTTTCCTGAGGACTTTTCTTTCCCAGACTTGCAGCAAGACTTGCTCGGATTTGTTCATTGTCCATGTTTCACTGGCATATAATACAATAGGTCTTATTACTGTCATATATTCTTATCTTAGCCCTTCTAAATATGTTTTTGCTTCTTAATAAACTGTTTAGTGCAAAAATACAACGGTTACCGGCCATAATTCTCGCTTGGATTTCTTCCTTCATATTTGGTCTTCTCGTGAATGTCGCTCCTAAATACTGGAATACTTCCACTTCTTCGAATTTATATGTTTTTTCATCTGTTATTACTGTCAGATATTGTTCTTGTAGGTAATCTCTTTCTGTCCATTCCATATATTTGGTCTTTTCTTCATGTATGTACATCCCTTTCTTTCTCGCTTTCATTTCTAATCTTTTTATTATTTCTTTTAATTCTTGCTTACTTCTGGCTATCAGTACAATGTCGTCAGCGAATGCTAAGCATTGGTGTTTTCTTTGATATATAAGTCCTGACCTGTTGATTCCAGCTTCTCTGATGGTAACTTCGAGGACGATACTGAACAACAGCGATGACAGTGGGTCTCCTTGTCGCACCCCCTCACTGACCTCAAACTTATCTGTTTCTTTTCCATTTATTTTAACCCTATTCTCTGTTCTTCGGAGTGTCACTTACCATTCTTATCAGTTTTTCACAAATTCCCATTTCACTTAGTGCTTTGTATATTTCTTTGAGTATAATCCTATCGAACGCTTGTTTAAAGTCGATGAATAGGGCCATTGCAGGTTTCCATCTGCTCAATATTTCTTCGTCACTTACTAAATTTCTTCCACTTTTGTTTTTGTAGTGTACAGGTTTTCCTTGGTACCCCTTTTTCTCATTTTTCGCCCCTTGATATAAGTTTCTAATTTCTGTATTTTTATCACTCTGTTCTATACATTTTAATTTATCTTCATTGTATTTTCTTTTCTTTGATCTTATTATTCTTTTGACTCTTTTCCTTTGTTCATTGTATTTTCTCTCTATCTCTGTTGTTTTTTCTTGTATCATGTTCATTCTTAATTTATTTCGTTCATCTAGTTCCATTTTACATTCATCGTCGAACCATTCTTTGTATTCGTGTTTTATATTTCTATTACTGACCTATTATGCTTTGGTCATGCATACTTTTATTTGCATCTATGTTTGTTCAATATCCCCACTTTCTGCAATATTATCTAATCCTCTACTGACTATTCTTCCATATTTATTTTGTTCCTCTTTTGTCAGTAGTCTCACAGGTTTAGTTGCTTTATACTTTTTCTTCCGCTGGTTTCTAAGCACTGGAATAAGTTGTTTCATTTGTATTCCAACTATAAAGTGATCTGAATCTGCATCTGGACCTCTGTATGTTCTTATTTTCTTTATACATCTTTGCATATCGTTTTCGACAAGCACATGATCAATTTGGTTTATGGTTTCTCCATCCGGTGATCTCCACGTTCCTTGGTGTATTCTTTTGTGTTGGAAGTACGTGCTCATAATGATCATATTTCTTTCTTTCGCGAAATCAATTAGAAAGTGGCCATTTTCATTCGTTGTTTCATGCAAGGTGTATTTTCCTATTGTGAGTACATATACTTCTTCTTTTCCTATTTTTGCATTACTGTCACCTAGCACTATTTTTACATCGTATTTGGGAATATTTTCGAATCCCAGACAGCACAAGACATCCCTGGGATGTCCATTTTATGCCATTTTAAGGTCCAAACGTCCTGGGACTTCTTTTGGACGTCCAAGGGATATTTCTAGTCGGACATACCAAGGACGTCCCATAAGGTCGTCCGAGGGACGTCCCATTAGGGATGTTTTCTAGATGTTAACTACGTCATTTTTTTACTTAAGCATATTTTTTACAAAATATAATATCTTCCTACTAAACTTTATTTTAAAAAGTTATATTTAGTTTTAAATACCATTAATTTATACGAAAACAGACATCTCTAAAATTTTGTTCTGTAGTGGAAATGAAATTTAAAAATTAGAAGATGAAAAAAGAATGTGGTTATGTTTTAACGACTCTTAGCTTTAGCTAGCATTTTCGGAATCTTTTATTTCTCGAATTATAATTATTGTGGTTGTGGTTGTAATTAGAGTTAGTTTATTGCATTTCGATACTAGTTTATAGTTTGGTAATTTATTATTATAGACATTAAGCAGGTATATAAGAATTTTATAGGTAATTTTTGTGGCTGTGGTGTGAGTTGCTACATTTGTAAAGTAAGTACTTGTAATATGCTTAAAAAATACTATAAATTTAAATACATAATATGTTAATATAAGTACACAATAAAAATCCCATTTATTTTTGCTTTTCATTTTATGTTTTTTGTAAGTTCCCTTTAGGTTCTGTATACATCCTCATTTAGGTCCTCTATTAGTCCATGTGGACGTACAATGGATGTCCCCAATACATCCTTTTTAGGTCCTATATAAGTCCGTATTAAGTTCTGTATATGTACTATGTACGTCCCCATGAACATCCCTGGGACGTCCAGGGGACGTACTTTTTGGTAACATTTAAATCTTATTGGACGTCCCGGGGACGTCCAAATTATGTAAACGGATGTCCGTGGGATGTCCGGACATTTAATGAGGTACATCCTTCGGACGTCCATGGGACGTACTTATGCTGTCTGGGATACTGTATCTATTTGATTATAAAAGTCTTCCTTTATTTCTATACTTTTGTCTTCAGTCGGTGCATGTATATTTATAAATGTTATTTTTTGGTATTTTATTTATTCTCTTATTCTTAATACACATATTCTCTCTGAAATTGGTTTGAAGTCAACGATTAGATCTTTCAGTTTTTTATTTACCAGACTACCAATTATTAAATAATATTTAGCCTAGATCATCTTTCCAGAGAAATGTCGATAAAATAAAGATAGATTTATGTAATCATGTGCGTTAGTAAAAGATACCCATCACACAGCAAACATACGCTGTCTCTTCCAATATCTAATAAGTAGGAACTAATCTTTTCGGATATTAACAGAGTTAAAGCCAAAGACCGGAGTAGGTTGAATTTGAAAATCAAAATGTTTCTCTGATTATGCAGGCTAAGGAGAGTTTGCGAGAAGTAGAGAATTGTACACTAACTTTGTCCCTAATCTCAATATAATCAATTGAAGATTCAAAATTGTATAGAAATATTAACCAAAATTATAAATAACAAAAAGAGCCTGAGCAGTTACGCCTAATATTTAAGAAATCTCATATTGTAAATGTAAATAAATAATTAGAATAAATCATTTTTATTTTGAAAAAGATTCCAAAGGAAATTATCTAGATTTCTAGTATCTTATTAAAAATAGTACGAAAAAAAAAACGGAAAATAAGTAATAAACATTCACGACATCTATGATCTATAATACCAATTTAACATTTAAACCGCGTATTTGTAATAGAGGGCGCTACTATTAGTTCTCACGACGTCAGACATATTAAAGCATAACCTGGTTGGGTTGCAGTGATGTAAATTTTCGTAACTTTTGACCATGCTCGTTACTTTCGGTATTTGTAGTCCTCACTTCCTCAGTAGTACAATATTTGTGACTTAAGTTATTATTATTTAAAAGGTATAGTCTTTATAATATATAAAAATAGGTTAAACTTGGTTAACTGAGATTTTATTAAATATAATAAAAACTATTTTATTTTCATAAAACAAGAGAAAAGTACAAAATAAAATATAATCGAAAAATTGAAAATTTTTTATTTTAACCTGTTTCTGCGTTCGGTTACTATTTGACCGGCTTTAGAAAATATGTATTCGCATGGAACAGAAGTGGCACATACACATAAATTATTTTTGGATAATTTAGA